AATAAATGAAGGCAGCCTGAAGGAGTTTTTTCATCCTTACTCACAGGCAAGGGAATGTACCTTGGCAATTTTGAGTGAGTTACCCGTGCAGGCTGAGGCAATAATTGCACTGGAGAAGAGAACAGTTGGCGTTCGTGGTTCCAGCAGCCTCATTCAGACCACACATGCAGGTTGACTTGTTGATAAAAAGCTGGCTTCCGCTAAGAGAGAGAACTGGATGGCCAAAATGATTTATTGGTGCTTATAAGCAGCACCAGCTTTTCATGTGCTGGAATGAGCCTCTGAAGCACCACGGCACATTTTAATTTTTCCAGCCTTCTTCCTGCCCAGCTGCCCTGGAGTTATCCAGCACTATCTCATTTATTTACTATATTTCTTATCCCGCTTTTTAGATAAGTGCTGTCTCCCAAAGTGGCTAGACGAAAAGAGCAGGAGGCACCAAGGAAAGGGACTGGAGGGAGAGGAGCTTTTCAAGGTGAGCTCTTGGAGAGCACTTACACCTACCTGGGGCCAGGTTGTTCTTCCTTTGTTGGTGGTGTTGCCTGAATAGCAATGGGTGGCTCTTGGTCCTTCAGCCAGTGGAGGGGACCAGACTCCAGAGTGGCCCTTGCTTGCTTCTGCACTCCCTGGGGCAACCAGTGGCTGGAACGGCATGTCTACTCAGGCAGGGTGGGGCCAGGTTGGTCTCCCCATTGCCTTAATATTCTTCCTGGGAGGAAGCTTCCCAGTGGCCCTGCGTTCCCTGGCCTGATAGCAGAAGTCGGAGTTGTGCCTATCTTCTGCTCTCCAGCCCCAAAGCACCAGAAGCATTTCTGCAATACTGCTTGCCTGCAGCTTAAAAAATAATAAATTACCCACTGCAGGTAACTATTTCAGCATGTTTTGCTTTTTCTGGTGTGCTTATAGTGACCATTCTATTTTCCTCAAACATGTCTGTCAATATGGTGGCCAGGAGCAGGTCCCCGGTTGTTGAGAGTAGCAGAGAGAAGTGCACAGCTCTCTCTCTCTCTCTTTTTACATCCCTGATGACGGCTTTTGATCAGGTTGAGGAGCAAGACAGTGGGGTTAGGGGAAGTATCCTGGATGTTTCCAGGCTTGCAATGCTGTATTTGTTTTGAGCATTTACTTTTGACAGCAGTTATAAAGCTCATGGCATGCTGTCACATTTGGCTGACTCCTCTTGGTTTTCATGGCCAATCATGACTGTAATGACTTGCAATAGTTACACTTGCTAAGTGGAAATTCGTAGCATTGAGCATGGATGTGGGAGAGCCGGGTTCAAATTTCCACACAGCCATTAAGTGTCCTGAATCGTCTGTGATAAGTTGCTGTCTCTTGGCTTAGCTTCGTAGAGGATGTTCTGAGAACATAATGAGCAATGTAGAATAATGTCACATATTAAGAACTATGAGAATTAATAACAGTTTACTGTTGTGCTCTTGGTGGTCAGTGATGATCATTAGATGTTTCCTTAGTAGGTACTAATGGCCAGAAGGCAGTGTTTGGGGGCTACAGCTAGTCAGAATTTTCCATAGTGTGGATGACAGTGGGGAAATGAAAATGAGCAATTTGGAGAGACTTAGTATAATGCAATTGGGAGAGATAGTTCTGAGATTCCCATCTCCTCCAGAAGTTAATAAAATTAGATAGATAGATAGATAGATAGATAGATAGATAGATAGACAGACAGACAGACAGACAGACAGACAGACAGAAAGAAGTTTTTCTCCCATTCTCATAACAGTAGAAATCATAGACATCCAGTGAAACTGAATGTTGGAAGATTTGGGACAGTTTTAAGTCTTTCAGCCAGCATGTTGTTAAAACTATAAAACTCACTCCTGCAGGAAACAGTGAGGGCCACCAACTTAGATGGCTTCAAATTCGTGGAGAAGGTTATCACTGGCTGCTCTCCATGGTGACTGGTGACACTGTTCTGCCTCCACAGGCAGAGGCAGCAGTGCTTTGCAATAACAGTTGCTGGAAACTGCAGGAGGGGAGCTGGCTCTTGTGGTTGTGGCTCTGCTGAGGGTTTCCCAAAGGCATCGTTTGGCCACTGTGAGATGCTGGACTAGGTAGGCCATTGGCCTGATTCATCAGGCTCTTCTTAGGTTCTTATTTCTGCCTTGTAGAGATGCAACCAAAGTGCTGCACATCCCTGCTGCTGCCTCATGCAATCCATCCATCCATGCACACATACATACCAAATGTGAGATTCTGGTGCAGCAGCAAAAGCAGGAGACATAAAGATGCAGCAGGTGACCTGAAGGCGGGAGGAAGTCGAAGGGCGTTCTCAAAAATAGCAGCTGGTTGGGTGGGCAGATGGAAGAACTATCAGCCCTTGGACTTTCCCAGTCCTGCGCCTTCCTCCCATCTCTGAGCATGCTTCGGGTTAGCCTTCCCATCAGCTGGCAGAAGGGAGGGGAGAAGTGCTTTGAATATTTCCAGGTCCAGGATCAAAAGCCTTTTTGTGTCTGCTAGTGGGATGTGGCCTTCTCTCCCTCCCTCCCTCCCTCCCTTTCTCTCACTTTTTTTTTCCTGCTTCCCTTTTCTGGTAGAGCCCTGCCAAGTACAGGAAGACTCCAGTGTATGCCTCTCCTTATAGGGGTTGGGGTGGGGAGGCAGGGAGGAGGAGGAGGAAGTGTTTCTGGTTCTGTGGGAATGTGAGCTTTCTCCCACTCTGTAAACAGCTGGTGACTCATTGCATAGCTATGGCACCAAAGGGATGCATGGCCTAAGGCATGCTGTGTGTGTGTATGTGTACATACACAGGGAAGGGAACTGAGCTTGTTTTGTTCCCGCCACATCCCCGCTCTGCTTCCTTGACTTTCTCACCGAAAACCTTTGGCGGGAGGAGAGAGAGAGACCCTGCGGAGTTCCTGCCTTCATGCCTCTCCTGCCTGCACAACCTGTCTTCCACACGGGAGGTGCCCGGGGCAGCGGCAAGGAGGCTTCCATGGTGCACGGCAAAGTCCAAACATGAGGGCGGGAGAGGAGAGCTGCACAGAAATGAGCAAGGGCTTGGGAAGGGCTCTGCAAATCCAAGGTAACGCTGCTGGGCTCCTCTCCAGCTCTCTGCAAAGCTCTCTACCGCCTCGCCCCACCTTTTCTCATTTCCCGTTATGTGGCTTGCCTGTGATTTTCGCTCCTCTGGCTTTTAACCGCTCTCAGCTGCCCTCCAAAGCCGCCTGCTTTTCTCTCTGGGAGATCCTGAGGCCTAGAACCCCTTTGCAGCCTCCCTGTGTGTGGGATCCTCCGAGTCTCTTGCCCTTCAGTACCCGCTTTTGTTAGGCAGTCCTTGCCTTTGCCCCCTGCTTCTCATTCCAAGAAGAAATGAATTCTAGGTACCTCGGCAGCCCTGGCTCACATCAAGCTTAGGACTCTGCTACTGCACTTGGTGCTTGAGTTGTATTGATGCTGCTGTAGAAATAACAGTTCCCTCCACTTCCTAAAATATATCCCACAATTCCTCAGCCTATTGAGTCCTTCCCTTTCCTTGCATCTTCTTCATTCTGTCCTCATTTGCCTCGCACACCTTGGCTACCTTAGTAATGGATCTGTATCATCACCTACTAGTTTCGTCAGTCCGGTTCGTCTTTCCAGTTCCTACAGGGATTGGCAAATACGGTCACATTCAATGTATCAGCACAGAGTTGACCAGCGACGCGGAAGAGCCTCTGTAAGCACCTACAGACTTTCAGAGTTTTAAAATATTTGGGCTACATTCTCACACTGCTACCCAGGATTACTGGGAGCTGTGCTTTGTTTCTAACAGGTGCCCAGACTTTCAAATGATGCCTCCCTGTTTTAACTGCAAGGTGTGGTTGCTTAGCAGTGAGGGGAAGGCGACTTCCAAACTTTTCCCTGTACAGTGGTGCTTCGCAAGACGAAATTAGTCCGTTCCGCGAGTCTCTTCGTCTTGCGGTTTTTTCGTCTTGCGAAGCACAGCTATTAGCGGCTTAGCGGCTATTAACGGCTTAGCGGCTTTAAGAAAAAGGAAACAAACTCGCAAGAACTCGCAAGACGTTTCGTCTTGCGAAGCAAGCCCATAGGGAAATTCGTCTTGCGGAACGACTCAAAAAATGGAAAACTCTTTCGTCTTGCGCGTTTTTCGTCTTGCAAGGCATTCGTCTTGCGAGGTACCACTGTATGGACTACTTGGAAATTGCTGAGGGTTTTGGTGGACCACTTAATGATTTTTCTGCCTGCTGCAGTAATTGTAATGCACTGTGCTAGATGACGTGTGATTTTAAACTGCATTTTTGCAGACATGCTGTGGATCAGCTGAATAAAGCTTACGGATCACTGGTAGTCAGTGGACCATTTTGGGAACTTCTGTATCACACTATTCCACGTCTGTTTCTTTAAAGAAGCATGGCCGTAGTTCAGTGGGAGTTTCTGGAGGAGAGAGGCTAGGCCATCGCTGAGCACCTGCTTTCCATGTTCAGTTCCTGGTATCTCCAGGCAGGGCTGGCAGAGACCCCCCACCTGAAACCCTGGAGAGCTGCTGCCAGTCAGGGCCAAGAGTGCAGAGCTAGACGGACACAGTGATCTGACTTGGTGCAAATCCGCTATGTCCCCAAGAAGTGCAGGGCCCCTGAAAGGGAATGTTTTCATTTCCACAGCAGCAATCCCTTCTCTCGTTTTCAATTTTGCGCGCATGTCACGTGAAGCTGAACTGTGTTGATCACCACAAGTGAAGGGAGAAGCATTTGTGGCTGAGCCAGACCGCTCCCCCCCCCCGCCCCGCCCCTGCTCAAATTCCTCCATTCAGCCTGCTGGACTTCCCCCTTTCACTTTCTCTAGGGGGCGGGAAAGAGTGTCCTGAAACGAATTGAGTTTGTTGACTCTCCCTTTGTCCTCCCAGCGTCTTTGCACAGAGATGACCCCAAGTCATGATTTGCTTTTGGGCTTCTCTTGTTTCCATGGTTACCGTCTCGGGGTTGGCTACTTTCCCAAGGTCACCATGGCAACTATCGGAAGGGAATCATGCTTGGGATGCTTTGGCTGAGTATCCTTTTTTTAAAAAAAATGAATGATTAGAACGTGTGACACGATGTAGAGGTGGATGGAGACAAGTTTTCCTTCTCCGGAAGGGAGCTTGTAGGGGAGAAGGGAGAACTCGGTCCAGACTGTCTTCTAAGGTTCCTTACGCCCGGTGCTGCAGCTTCTGAAAGCCGCCTGTGCTTGCTAGGCGCGACAGCCCTGAGCGCCCAGACCCTCCGCTTCCCCGGCCCAGGCTGGCAGGGGAGAAGGAAGCTGCTGTGATGTCACAGCTGCATTGCCCTCTCCCCCTTCTCCTACAGGCGCTCCAACTGTGTCATCCATCTGTGCTGCGCGATGCAGGTGGAGGCTCTGCTGCCGAGGTCTAGACAGGCAGACTGCCTCTCCTGCGCTGATTGAAGGGGTGTAGTTTGCAAAGTGTACCTGAGGTGAGAGTGAAGGGCAGCCGTCCTCAGGGCGAGTGGGGAGGAGGCGTCGCTGCTGTGTGCCACATTTCCACACAGCGGGGAAGATCAGAAGGGCACCCCCTCCCTCAGCCTTAGGGCGAGAGAACCCCACAAAGTGAGGAGAACGTTGCATTTTTCTCTTTCTCTTTTGCAACCTGTTCCACCATCCTTGTCTCGTCGTCTTGTGATTTTTTCCTGTGTGGTTTGTTTGTCTGCCTTGAGATTTGGGAGGCTTACAGGTGGTGTTGGGCAGAGGTTTGTTCACTTTTCTACTTGCACTGTTGAAATCTTTAGCAGGGTGGGGTCTAAGGCCAGAGGTTATCATCCCTTAGCTCTTAGGTGACCTTCGTGTGGGGTGTCTTAAGTAAAAGTTTGTGTGTGTGTGTTGTTTTTTTAATTGGGGACAAAAACATATTCCCTGTTTCTGCTATCTGCTAACCCTGATTCTGTGATTGTAATAAATTTGTGCAGATTTCCGAGATACTATTGCATGGTTTTTGAAAAACTGTACGGAGAAAATAGCAATCGGCTAGAGCTGTTGAGATTGGGGAAGAAAAGGTTAGCTTTACGGAACAAACGGCGCCCAGACAAACAGATTAGGAACTGTTCCAAATTTAGAAACCCCTTCACTTAAACTGTGGGGGGGGGGGGAGAGAGAATCAGATTGGCATCATGAAATGCTGGAATCCAGGATAAGCAAATTGATAAAAATTGGGTCTAAAGTCTTTGTAGGCCTGTGGACACAGTGGTGTGGGAGACGGGAGGTAGGGATGGAGGAGCTCTTCCCTACCTCAATAACTTGCTAATTACATGAAAATCCTGGACAGAAATGATGTCTAACTCGGGCTGCTTTCTCATCTTCTCCCATCTTGCCACTCTTGATTTCTTTCTGAGTGTGGATTAAGCCGCTGTTGTGTTCGGTCCTATCGGGTGTTCTGGTTTGTTATTCCACAATCCTTCCCTAGCCTAGTAGCCAAAAACATCACCCCAGATTTTGTTTGGGTTCCATGCCTTCAGGCACAAAGCACCTTAGTGGCAGAGCGCATCTTTTTCAGGCAGAAAGAGGAACTCGGATCTAACCCTGGCACTGTACCTAAAATGATTTGTGGTTGCAAGCCTAGAAAAGGTGGGAGCATTGGAGAGCTGCTGCCCATTAGGACAGACAACACTAGGCTATGTGGACCAGTGGCCCTGAGTCTGTATAAAGTGGTTTTCTAATAGGGAAGGGTCATAGCTCAGCGATGAAGTGCTTGCGAAAGGTCCCAGGTCCAGTCCCCAGCATCTCCAGATAAGGCAAGGAATGTCTCCTGTCTGAAACTCTGGACAGCTGCTGCCTGTCAGTGTAGACAATACTGAGCTAGACAGAAGGTAGCTTCCTATGTTCCTATATATGTACAATCTGAGATATTGATACTTTCTTTGTCTAGTGAATGCTGGCAACTAGCTCTGTGTTGGGCTCTCATGAACACACAGAGAATGCCTATTCAACAAGGAAGGTCCAGTGTTACATACCCGGGGGTCTGTATGCAAGTTCTTAGACACACATACAGGGTGAGTCTTTTAAAAGAGGCCCCATGGAACATGTGTACTCTGTATCCACGGGGCCTCTATTAAAGGACTCACCCTGTATAATCAGTGCTCCTTCTTTCTTTAAATGAGCTCTGTTGCATGCCTGTGATGTCTGATAGGATCACTGAGAATGGGGAATCCCTGTCTTTCCCTGTAATAACATAGGTGAGACTGAAATCATAGACCTGTTTATCTCATTTATTTAAATAATTTGTATCCTGCTCTTCAATTGAGGAAAAGTTCCCCAGCGTGACTTACAGATTGCAGACCTGAGGGCAGGGATTGGTTTTAATATTTTAGTTTATTTTTTAGTAATCTAAAAAGACACTTCACATAAGGAAAATGGATTGGGAGGGAGGAGGAAATCAGGGACAACTTGAGAGTTAGAAGTTCTAGTAGCTCCACTCAGTGCCCCAACTAGCAGAAATGGCTACTGATGGCCAGGGTAGGGCATGATGTTGCTTCAGTTCTCCCTCCCCACATCCTGCGTCTTATATTGTAAAAAGGCTAGTTTTGTTAATTTATTCTCTTTAAGGCAGCAGTTTTCATTTCACGTTGGGGTTGTAGGGCAACAGAGGGAGGAAGTACAGAGTTCCAGGAGTAGTACAGAAGAAAGAGCTTCCCCAGCCCCAAACTGATCGTCCCCTAACCGAAGGCAGGGGATCAATGAGACTAAGTTTGTGTTTGCTATGGAATGACGCAAGACTACAGAGGGTTTTAAACTTACAAGCGGGGGGCATCAGGCAGAGATTGAGCCTGTGCCTTCCCCATCCCCACTCATTCTGGTGTTGAGAAAAGTGACAGGGAAGCCAGCCATACCGATAAGCCACAACAGATCAGGAGGTGCTTTCTGGCCTTTAAAGATCCCCTGAATGAGACTGAGCAACTAGGGGATTCTGTTTTCACTACTGATTGTGTACCCCCCCCCCTTTGCCTAGCACTTCTCTGATACAGCAGGATCTCAGCCTGACACATCTACAATGCTCATCCACCCCAGCCCGAATTGGGAAGCCTAGGAAGAGCACAGCATTCTCCTAATGATGTTTCCCCACAAGTGGTTCTAGGATGAGGTCTCGAATAAGGTCTCCTTGAATTTATGCCTTTTCTAATACCACTGTTGGATAATTGGCCCCGGTCTTTTGGTGGCAAACATCCATCCACACATACCTTAGGAGCCTGTATATCCATATGCTCTCTTGTGGGCTCAGCGGTTGGCAAGCTGGCTTACGTGGTTCCGGAAATGAGCATAGGTTCAGAAAGACAAGGGAAAGAGTTCAAAAAATAATGGAGGAGCATTGCCTTAAATAGATTTGACATATAAAAGATATGTGACGTTCTCTGAATCGAAATGCAGCATATGAATGTGGTGGGGGAAATGTCCCATTTAGAATGTCTTTTCTGGGTCTGTTTCCTTTCTCTAAACCTGTTGCCTCTCTCCCCCCCCCTTTTTCTCTTCCCATCTAGTTGCAATTTCTGAGCAGTTCTGTCCAGGTGACCGTACCCAGGTTATGACGACTAATCCAAAACCAAACAAAACATTAAAGGTAAGTAAAGTGGCATAAAATGGGGAAGTGGAACTTGCAACCCTGCAGGTGTTGCTGGACTCTAGCTATCATCGGCCCCAGCCAGGATGGCAAATGGTCAGGGATGCTGGGAGTTGTAGTCCAGCAACATCCAGAGGACCACAGGCTCTCCCCCCACCCCATTCTGATATAAAGCATAGATGGCTTTTTAAGGAAAACTGAGACAAGTTCATAGAACCTTAATGGCCAGAGGCAATATACCTCTGTGTGCCAGATGCTGCAGGTGCCCATTATCTTCGCACCTTTCTTGTGAACTCCCAGAGCAGCCTTCCCTTAACTTAGTGCCATCCTTACATTCCAGGTTGCAACTCCCATCCGGGTTGCAACACACCATTGTCTGTGCTTGTTGGAGGAACTGTAATCCAAAACATCTGGAGAGCAGTAGGTTGGGGAAGGCTGTTTCAGAGGCATCTGGCTAGCATTTGTTAAACAGAATGTGGGACACAAGGCTTTTATTTTTTTTAAAAAATTGTGTGTGTGCTCTGTATGAAAATTGTTTTCATGGTGGCAGATCTCCTAAATCACAAGCGGGGAACCTGTAGACCTCCAGGTATTGTTGGACTGCAACTTCCAGAGTGCCTGACCATTGGGCAATGCTGCCTGGCACTGATGTGAGCTAAACTCCATCCTGTGGGGCGTCACAGGTTCCCTGTTCTAAATTACCACCTTCCCCAGCGGTAATTCTTTAAAATACATTGTTCAGTGCCAAATTTTTTTGCCTGCTGATAACGCAGTGCTACAGCTTTCCTTCAGAAGAGAGTTTTTCTTCATCACTTTTAAAAGAGAAACTAAGGATACCTATGTCTAACTTGCTGGAGACGAGGGCAATATTCTGTATCCGGACCTGAGCTGAAGTGAAGTTTTACGCAGTTCATGGAATCTTGCAGGAAAATTCATGCCACACTCACAGGCTGGGGACCATAGTGTGGTGGTAGGGTGCATCTTTGCAAGGCACAGGTTTCCATATTCAACCCCCTGCATCTCTAGTTAAAAAGGATTTTGGTTAGTGGGCTGGAAAGCACATCTACCTGATGCCCAGTTGATCTGCTGTCAACCAGCTCAGACTAGATGGACTCACGGTCTGATTCCGTGTTAAACGGCTTCATACGCTCAGGTCCTGTAACAGATTTCCTGGATGTCTTCATATGGCCATGAATTTCCGTGCATAACCATCTGAGTCATTTCCCTTTCCATTCCTCGTGGAAGAGGGACATGGGAAGCCCTTCTGAGGTACAACATCCTGAGGTTGACGTGGCTTGTGGAGAGGAAGGAAGGAGCCACTCTGCTGCTTCCTGCCCTGCAGCTAGCAGGATGTCCTCATGCCGCTGTGGGAAGTGGGCAAAAAGCATTGGCCCATTGGAAAAATTCCAAAATCCCTTATGAGGGCAGCATACTTTTATTAGTCCAAGCCAAATGTGGGACCTGGAGTGACTGAACACTCAGCCCATGAAACGCTGATGTTTCTTAAAATATATCAACATGGTCCTTTACACAGGAAATCCATTTTATTTTTTAAAAATCCATCAAATCACAATACCTGGGTGGTGGGGGGGGGGCTACCTCCAGAATAAGATTGAGCATGGGATCATAGAATCTTAGAACTGGAATCATCTAGTCTAACTCAGCTAAAGTATCCATGACAGCTGGCCATCCACCTTTGCTTAAAAATCTCCAAGGAAGGAGAGTACATCTCTCATATCAGTCTGTTCCACTGTCAAACAGTTCCTGCTGTCAGAAAGTTTTTCTGTCAGTAAGCTTAGTCGGAATCTCTTTTCTTGTAACTTGAAACCATTGCTTCAAGTCCTACCCTCCAGAGCAGGAGAAAACAAGCATATTCCCTCTTCCATGTGATAGCTCTTAAGATGGCTATCATATATCATCTCAACATAGGTGATAAGTGGGCTTCGGGGGGGGGGGCATGATGGGTTCACTGCTGAGAAGATCCTGTCATTTGTTGCTACCTAGAGAAGGGCTTTAGCAGAATATCATAACCTATGTGGGAAGACTCAGTTCATATTTGGCTCCCAAGGCATTTAGAGCTTTTAAAAGTTAACCTCAGCACTGTCAATTGGGCCCAGAAGCAAACAGATAGCCAATATTAATTTATTTACATACATACTGCAGTTGAGCATTTGACTGATTTAAATAGCTGTTCAACAGTGGGACAGACTCCCTCCGAAGGTGGTGGAGGTTTTTGAACAGAGGTTGGATGGCCACCTGTTATGGATTCTTTAGCTGTGATTCTGCATTGCAGGGGGTTAGACTAGGTGTCTTTTGGGGCCCCTTTCAACCCTATGATTCTGTGAGAGGGGGAAAGGTCAATTTGGTCAATTGAGCAGATCAAATACTGGTCAGGTATTTTTAAAAGCACTAACTTTATCACAGCAGCAGAAAAAGAAAAGTTACTGCCACATATCTGAATTATAAAAACTGAATTATACTGCTAATTGTTGTGAAATAATACTTTTTTAAAAAAGTAGTACATTACCATAACTTTTAACCATGTTGGTTCAGGTTTTTTTTATAAGTGATGAATGATTCTTGTGAATGATGCTTTGGACTCAGAGGGAAGAGTCAGGTGTAAATGTTGACTTGGGTAGAAACTACTCTGCACCAAGTGGCACTCACTGGATCATCTGCAGATTTCAAGTAGAATTCTCCATCTGAGTTCCTGCAGATGAGGAATTCTGACGCAGAACTCTGAAACTGGGTAGTAGAGATTCACAAAGAAGTGGTCAGAGGCAGCCAATTACTATTCCAATCATTACACGTGAGGAAAACTGAGGCCAAGAGATTAAGTGATTAGCATAAGGAAAGCAATGACAGAGAATGTTGCTTTTCTTGCCATTTTACTTGCTGTTTGGGGCCAGGAACCTTTGCTGATCTGCTGCAAATAACCCAGAGATTGACCACTAAAACCCAACGTGCCTCCTTCCTGCTCTCGTATATCTTTGCACGGGAGAAGGCATTCCCTGAGATACTTTGGACCCAAACAGTTTAGACTTATAGAAGTCAAAGCCCACACCTTGATTTTAGCCCAGAGACCTACTGGAAGCCAGTGCAGTTGCTGAACAAATATAATACGGTTTTGTCAGCTCATCTTGGTCAGAAGAGGGGCAGCAGTATTTGGAACTAATTGGACAGCCTTCAAGGGCAGTTCCAGATATGATAGCAAATAATCAGGAAGTTACCGAGGTGTACAGGATAGCAAGGCTGAGCGATGGTTAGACCTGGGATAGCTCAGTCAGTAGAGCACAAGACTCTTAACCTCAGGGTCATGGGTTTGAGCCCCATGTTGGGCAACAGATTCCTCCACTGCAGGGGGTTGAGCTAGATGGCCCTTGTGGTCCCTTCCTATTCTATGATTCTGTGACCCATAAGTTGCCTTTGTGACACTGGTGTCTGCAGGTCAAGGAGGAGTCGGGAGAGAACGCCCCGGTGCTCAGTGACGATGAACTCGTGTCGATGTCTGTGCGGGAGCTGAACCAGCACTTGAGAGGTCTCACAAAAGAGGAGGTCATCCGCCTGAAGCAGCGGCGGCGCACGCTTAAGAACCGGGGCTACGCCGCCAGCTGCCGCATCAAGCGTGTGACGCAGAAGGAGGAGCTGGAGAGGCAGCGGGTGGAGCTGCAGCAGGAGGTGGAGAAGCTCGCCCGGGAAAACAGCAGCATGAAGCTAGAGCTGGACGCCCTGCGCTCGAAGTACGAGGCGCTGCAGACCTTTGCCCGCACCGTCGCCCGGGGGCCCATCACTCCGACCAAAGTTGCTGCCACCAGCGTCATCACCATCGTGAAGTCGGCAGAAATCTCGTCCGTTTCTGTGCCATTTTCAGCAGCCTCCTAGTGTCCAAAGTGGCAGAACTAGCAGCCCTTTTGGAAGGGAGAGTAGGATCTTGTTGATGGGTTTAGGAGCCTGCCTTCCTGAAAGATCAGCAATCCATTTTCTCCCCCAAAGCTACCAAGTGGACTCTGCAAAGGGGGAAACTAATGGGCTGTTCTTGCTGAGCACTTCAGGTTCTGTCAAGCTGCTTCTGGCTGAAATGGGAATGCCATATCGAGTAGTAGGTATTGCACGAGGGGTCTTGCACAACTCCTCCTCACAGCCTCTTTAAGTCCCAGGCAGCTCCCCAGTCGAGAGAAGACATCAGGGTATTCTCCAGAACATTTTGGAGTGAAACTGAACGACTCAGAAACGGATGGCCTGGCAGAATTGACAGGCAAGTTGAATAAATGAAGAACAGCCTCTTCCTTCTTTCAGGAAAAAAAATATATGTCCAATCGTAGTCAGCTTTATGTCAGTCACAGAATGGGCAATTGGCTCTGGAGCAGCTTATGCTGAGAGTTCATCAGAATGTCATAGAACAATGTCTTATCTCTCCAGTTATGGAAACACCTTCACAGGTGAATTTCCACCTTTGGTGTGGTTATCTCCCCTCCCCTTTGCCGTGTGGCTTAGCAAACAGCAGTATCTACAATGCAAAAATGTCTCACTAGCTACTTCCCCACAATGTGCCTGTGAGTCAGATGTCTTTTTAAAAATGTAGTCTTGTTACTTCTAAATCAATATTCTCTCTCTCTCTTGCTTTCTCTCTCTTTCTCATAACAATAACTATTAGATCTAGACTGAACAACGCTGCAGAGAAAAGGAAATGGGAAAGTGTTAAGAGTGTGGGGATGTGGGTGGGCTGTAAAAAAGAGAGAGATACTGTTAACGGCAGGAAGCCCGTGCTCTGACAAGGTGTTCTCTTACAGGGTCTGCTAAAAGACCTGTAAAGCAGAAGCATGCAGGAGAAGACAAGAAAGTTTCACGTAAGAGACAGAAACAAGTGTGACATCAACACAAAGCCTTAACATAACCTCTTTCTGACTTCACGAGAGCTCTTTTTGGTGCTCTTTAATGCCAAAAGACAACATATGGCAAAGATGAGTGAGTGATGAAAACAAAGAGCAGTGTTCTTGGACGAGCTGCCTAGTAGATGTAAATATCTACAAGGGAACAGATCCTTGGAGATAATCTCAAGACCAGGGCATAGATGAAATGTTGCCAAGGAATGCAAGAAGGTTTGAAAATGCAAGAAGGTTTCTTTCTCAAGTAGTTGCAAAGTTGGGACAGGGGATGGGTGGAGAAATGTGTTTCGTGGATCTGAGACAGGAAGGATTAGAGCTGATTGGTTCGTGGTGGGGAGGGCAGAAGAGGACTTGGGAGGTGGGGTGGAAGAGTGGAGGGAGAGGAAAGCAGAGATTTTTGAATTTAGTGGGGAAAGAGAGGAGTTAAAGTTTGTAAATGAGTTTGTAAAATCCAAGGAAGTAAGGAAAAGCAACAGGTTTTCAGATTAAATGAAAAGGAAGGACCTCGTACAAGTTGATTTAAGCTGTGCCTGCAAGACAAGTAATCTTCCACTTCCTTAGCAAAAGGTACTCCTTTAAGGTTCCCAAATAAAAAGAGGGAGGACCCTGAGGCTTGGAGCCAAAATGCCCCATGTGGCAACACTTTAGATGGCCTGCACCATTTTAGACTGCTGGTGTAAGATAGGACCTTTTGAATGCTGCCTCCTCACCAGATACTCGACACATAAGCCCCAAGTAAGCTTACCAGAATAAAAAAGCTACCCTGGAATTTCTCCCTGACTTGCTCCTTTTGGAGGATGGCATCCTTTTACAGGGAAGAAGCTCTGTTTTGCACATTATGCGCCACTCTGTATATTGATAGCAGGGCTGGAGAACTTCGAAAACAGAGCTGAACCATTGCATATTGCCGGTGGGGCAATCTGTGACGTGGATTTGAACCAGGGCGGGCCGGTGAAGATGCTGGTGGCGATTTAAACCTTGTGTGTGTTCCCAAATAGCCAATGCCAACTTTACTCTTACTCTATGTGTGCGTTTGGTGCTGCAGGAGTGATACTCTGCCTGTCACACCACTGCTTGACATTATCATTGATGGTGGCAAGCACAGACCACACTCCCCTTAATGGAGTTAGGAATACGGATGGTATATTGCCCATGGCAGTTGGGTGCATGTACAGGGCAAATCCTTTACCAACGCTGCCGCTAACACCTACTGTGTCTACACTCAATAAGAGTTAGCAGGGTTGCACACTTGCAACAACCGCAAGGAAAATAAAACAAAAACCAAGTCATCTATTCAAGACTTAAATTCCTACCAGCCCACTGTTCCGGTGGCTTATTTTCTGAGTCTTGAGATGTGACTTTTTTTTTAGGATTACCTCATTTCTTTCCAGGCCTCACATTACCCTCTAGAAGGCAAGCTGATGTCCTGTGTTTTAACCCATGCCTTTTTTGACCCCCTCAGCAAAGGTTGAGGAAGAAAAAAAAATCACACAATATTGCTCTTATTTCCTGTAAAAAATTATTTTGGAAAATGCCCTGGATCTCTGCAAGCTTCTCGAGTTCTTAAAGCAGAGAAAGGTTTTAGATAATTTGCACTGTTGGAGCTTTGGAAAACAAATAAAGCTGGCCATTGTGGGCTTAAGGATGCCTGGATGCTTCATAACCTCCCCCTGCCCCACCCCAGAATTTATTCTCGAGAAGGAAACCGCTGCGCGCAGCTCAGGACCATCTCATAGCTGAGCAATGTGGAATTTGTGGCCCTCCAGATGTTGCAGGACTACAGCTCCCACAATCCCTCACTCGTAGCCTTGTTGGCTGGGGCAGATGGGAAATGGTGCTCAGCCACATATGTATGGCCACAGGCTCACTGTCATAGCCAGAACCCTGAAAACGAGAGAATAGTGTTAACCTCCATTTCATCATAGAGATAACAAAAGACTAGACTTGCTCAAAAGCTGCCATACGAAGGGCATCACCAATAGGAGCTCCTACGTTGACTCCAGAAATTGTTTTTTGTACAGGCTGTGCCCAGTTAATGAACCCCATACAGGGCTAGGGTCCCATAGATGTGCAGCTCTTGGGTTTCCTTGAATGTGTTTCATGGGGTTTCCTTTCAGAATAAGAACAGAGACACAGACATTTTCTTGAGTAGTGTTTCTTTGCAACTGAGTAATCACCTGCCTCCCTCAGTTCTAGGAAAGTTGGCCAGAGGTGCAGGCAAGCAATTGCTGATTTTAGAAAAGAAACTGGTAGGAGACGCTCCAACAACAATCTAACTGAAACTGTGTTTGCAGTCAGCGGAATTAAGGCTTCAGCCTTAGGGTTTAGCTCTTAGCAGCTGTGTGTTTACCACCAGCTAGTTGCTGCTTACTCTCCCCATAGGGTAGTTGCTGGAAAACCTCCTCCTCCATAGGTGGTCTGCAGGCACATGAAGCATCTAGAATTTCCGTGGATAATACGATAATCTCTGAGGGAGTGACCTCAGCCTGATCTCTGCCGCTAATTTGAGAACTAAGAGCAGCTTCTGTGGGGCAAAGTGACATCAAACAACCCAACCAACACCAGGACTATGTACCTTTGTAATTTGATCAGGAGCAAGAGGCCGAAGGCATTATTAAAGCTGTCGTTACCATAGCCATGGTAGGTAATCCATATTGGATATCATTTAAGGACCATGTGGAAATATTTGAGAGACACACTTATAGAAACATATATAAATATATATAGATATATATATAATAAATGCATAATTATATACATTTTATCGTACAGATTTTTTTGTAAAAGATATTGTCTGGGTTGTTGTCTTTTTTAGTGTGGTATATTGTCGTTTTCTTATTTAAAAAAAAAAAGTCTGCTTACAAGAGAAAGTGGGGAGGAGAGAAGAGCCGATAGTTTTCTCTGACGAGTCAGGAATATGACAGAAGGAATCTGAAAGCTTCATTTAGTTTCATTTCTCACCTACTTTTTTGACACCTGTGGCTGCAGCCAGAGATATCCATTGGAAATACTTTCCTCTCAAAAGTCTGTGCACCAAAAGGATGGGAAGTTCAGGAGACCTGAGCAAAGTGTGCCATCAGTCGCTGCAGGAATGTGTATCCTTAGCCTGTCCTACATGCATATGCCTACTTAGACAATTCCTACATGGAAGGCACCTGAACATGGGAGTTAATATGCAACCCATGTGCGCAAACCACCACCTGCGATGTGTGTGTGTGTGTGTTTTCAAGTGTGTTATTCATGCAGCAAGGGATTGCAGGCCAACTTTTTATAAACCACGAAACATCCCTTCATGTTTTCTGCTCATCAGCTTCCACCAACCTGAGCTTGGTTTCTCTGTACATGAAAAGATGTTCAGTATATGCTTTGGCTTTTCTGAGTGTTGGTGCGACTCATGCCCAGCTCAGTGTCCCCTCCAAAGGAACTGCCCAGGGGTTTGTGGTCAGATTTGTCCATCTTCCATTCTGCCTTTAATGATGCCCCAAATTCGACTCCTGGGGTATCTCTTCCCGCCTCGGTGTCAGCTCACCTTCATGTGAGGTTAACAGTCCAGCTGTTCTCTGCTAGGTCTGGCACATCTTTGCCCATCCAGCCTCCAGGACCTGTTAGAGGAGCCTCGGAAACATGCACGACACCATTGGGCATGACTTGCCATAGGGGGTTCTGGGGTCTGCCTTGTTTTCCACTGGGGCTGAACTCTCTAAATGCTAGCATGTCCAAGAGGGGCAGATGACTGGGCTGAATGAAACATCCCATGGACTAAATTTGGCCCACTAGCAGCCAGTTGCGCTGTTCCGATCCCTGCTGCTGTTTGGCCAGACCGACTGCCTTTCTTGGAAGGCTTGCTCAGTATTGGAGCTGTTGTGTAGGCTACCATGATGGTAGCATTCTGGACTGTACCAGGTTCCATGGGAAGGGGGGTGGATCATGATTTTGAATGCACTGAACACTCCTCACTTGCAGTAACCTTGCGCATGAGGGAGAAAACCATGCTAAACCTTTCTCCCTTCCATGTTGGCTTACTACGCACAGGGGAGTTTAAAAAACAAACAGATGGGGGAGTATCAAAGAAACTGACCTTCCCACAGGTGGTACAGGCCTGCCATCTCAATCTGCATCATGTATTCCCAGATCCCATTAGCCCCAGCCCTTTATGGCCAGGGATGGTCAGCGCTGTCCTCTTAACATCTGGAGGACAGCAGGTCAGGGAAGGCTGCCATAACACATGACACTTCAGTATTTGAAAGCTAACAAGCTGGATTGTTTAATCCTGCAGTGAAGGATGTGCAACTTTTTGAGAAATGGGTAACTGGAGCAGTCAGCAGTGAGGCTTCTTAATGTGAGAAACCGGAAGGGAATTCAGGTTACTCCGGTGGCCTAAAGCCAAGAAGTGAAGCCCTTCCCTTCCCCCTCCCTTTTCAAGTCTTTTTAAGCTTTACCACTATTTGGTTTCAATGTTTAAGGTTTTGTGTCCCTACCTCCATAAAGACAGGAGTCTTTTCCCACTGATAGCCAACCATAATGCTTTTCTTCCCCCATTTTCACTCATCCTTGAAAAATTGTAGGAAAGTCTCTTTCTTTTTTTTGTCACCCGTTCATTCTATCTTCTGTGGTTTTACTTGATTATTTTCATTTCGATATTTATTTTTCGTGCGCTGCTTTTTTATTATGAAATAAATTATTGATATATCAAGTAATGTGGGTGCCTGTTTCGTAAGGCATATTCACTGTGTGTGTGCGTGTCCAATCTACTTTTCTCTTGACAAAAAAAAAATTTTACAACACAATGTTAATTTATTGCTGTAAATTTTAAGCTGCAATGACTGGTTTTTGGTTTGTTTTTGTTTTTTTGTACCTTTCCAATAAAGCATTTTCTGGTTTCAGATTTGACCTGGTCTGTGATCAGTATGTTCAAAGCTTTGGGACCTCAGGCTGCCTTCCTTCCTACAGCTTACACAGAGCCCAGGAAGGCTACATGAAAGACCTAGATCAGGGGTCAGCAAACGTTTTCAGCAGGGGGCCTGGCTATATTTTGAAAGGGGGGGGGAGGAACAAATTCCTATGCCCCACAAATAACCCAGAGATGCATTTTAAATAAAAGGACACATTCTACTCATGTAAAAACACGCTGATTCCCGGACTGTCCGCGGGCCGGATTGAGAAGGCAATTGGGCCAGATCCGGCCCCCGGGCCTTAGTTTGCCTACCCATGGCTAACAGGGTTGACATCAGTCTGCCTCAGGAAGATTATGGAGTGTGTCTCCAGGGATGAAGTCAAACTGCTGTGTTAGCAGCACCAAAGTGACCTCCCCAGGGCACAAGCCTGGGCTGTGTGTCTGGAGGTCTTGGGTTGCCCCAAAGGAAAGCAGAGCAAAATGTTTGGCAGCAGGAGTTGATGGAAGGAGGGCGTCCAGCCGCCGCTCTGCATTTGCGTAGTCTAAGCAAAATGAACAAAAGCTGGCAGGTAGCAGAGTCTGTTGGGGGACTCCAAAAACCGCAGCGATCCTGCCTTTCATAGGACTAATTAAAACGCTACCCCTCCTTATCAAGCTTTCAAGTTCTCCAGCAATCATCTTCACGGTGTGCCTCAGAGCAACAGCTGCTGCGGAGCGCAGGCGGGGAGATTGCCATTGCACCCCAGCCCTGCCTGTGAGCTTCCTCTTGGCAACTCTGGGAAACAAGCTGTTGGAGATGATGATGGGCCTGTGGCCTGATCGAACAGGGCTCTTCCTAGGGGAGAAAGAAGGGCTGGAGAAAGCTAATGGGGAAAGCCTGAAGGGCTTTAATTTGTTAGCTGCCTTAGGCTGCCGGGCAGGAGATGTCATGCACACTTAATTAGAGGACTAGTAGTTGTGTCAAGAGGGACGCGGGTGGCGGTGTGGGTTAAACAACAGAGCCTAGGACTTGCTGATTAGAGGGTTGGCGGTTCGAATCCCCGTGACAGGGTAAGTTCCCATTGCTTGGTCCCTGCTCCTGCCAACCTAACAGTTCGAAAGTGCAAGTAGATAAATAGGTACCGCTCTGGCGGGAACGGGACGTGGGTGGCGCTGTGGGTTAAACCACTGAGCCTAGGGCTTGCCGATCAGAAGGTCGGTGGTTCGAATCCCCGCGATGGGGTGAGCTCCCGTTGCTTGGTCCCTGCTCCTGCAGTTCGAAAGCACATCAAAGTGCAAGTACAGTGGTACCCCGCAAGACGAACGCCTCGCGAGACGAAAAACTCGCAAAACGAAAGGTTTTTTCGTTTTCGAGTTGCCTCGCAAGACGAATTTCCCTATGGGCTTGCTTCGCAAAACGAAGCTTGCCCCGGGGACAGCGGGTCTTCTCTTTTGAAGCAAGGGGCGGCGGGGAGATCGCTTCTCCCCACCGCCCCTTGCTTCAAAAGAGGTCTGCCCCCGGACCTCTTTTGAAGCAAGGGGCTGCGGGGAGATCGCTTCTCCCGGTGCTCCGAAGCGGGGTGGGGGGGCGGGAACACCTGCCCCAGCCGCCGGGCTTCGTAGCGCTGCTGCGAAGCCGGGCGGGGGGGCGGGAACACCTGCCCCAGCCGCCGGGCTTCGTAGCGCTGCTGCGAAGCCGGGCGGGGGGCGGGAACACCTGCCCCAGCCGCCGGGCTTCGTAGCGCTGCTGCGAAGCCGGGCGGGGGGCGGGAACACCTGCCCCAGCCACCCCCGCTTCGGAACGCTGCTCCGAAGCGGGGTGGGGGGGCGGGAACACCTGTCCCAGCCGCCGGGCTTCGTAGCGCTGCTGCGAAGCCGGGTGGGGGGCGGGAACACCTGCCCCAGCCACCCCGCTTCGGAACGCTGCTCCAAAGTGGGGTGGGGGGGGCGGGAACACCTGCCCCAGCCGCCAGGCTTCGTAGCGCTGCTGTGAAGCCGGGCGGGGGGCGGGAACACCTGCCCCAGCCACCCCACTTCGGAACGCTGCTCCGAAGCGGGGTGGGGGGGCGGGAACACCTGCCCCAGCCGCCGGGCTTCGTAGCGCTGCTGCGAAGCCGGGCGGGGGGCGGGAACACCTGCCCCAGCCACCCCGCTTCGGAACGCTGCTCCGAAGCGGGGTGGGGGGGCGGGAACACCTGCCCCAGCCGCCGGGCTTCGTAGCGCTGCTGCGAAGCCGGGTGGGGGGGCGGGAACACCTGCCCCAGCCGCCGGGCTTCGTAGCGCTGCTGCGAAGCCGGGCGGGGGGGGCGGGAACACCTTCTGAAGGCGGGCGGGGGGGCGAAAGTCTTTGTCCCCCCTGCCTGCCTTCCCAGGGGCTTTTAAATCGCCCCTGACAGCGGAGAAGTCCTCCGCTGTCCCGGGGCGATTTTAAAATGCCGCCCGCCAGCATTTTAAGATCGCCCGGACAGCGGAGAAGTCCTCCGCTGTCCCAGGGTTTTTTAAAATGCTGGGGGTGGGAAGAAAAGCCCTTGTCCCCCCCCCCCAGCCTTCAGAAGGACCTGGTCTGAAGGCGGTTTCCCTAGGAACGCATTAATTGATTTTCAATGCATTCCTATGGGAAACCGTGCATCGCAAGACGAAAAAACCGCAAGACGAAGAGACTTGCGGAACGAATTAATTTCGTCTTGCGAGGCACCACTGTAGATAAATAGGTACCGCTCCGGTGGGAAGGTAAATAGCGTTTCCATGTGCTGCTCTGGTTTGCCAGAAGCGGCTTAGTCATGCTGGCCACATGACCCGGAAGCTGTACACTGGCTCCCTCGGCCAATAAAGCGAGATGAGCGCCGCAACCCCAGAGTTGGTCACAACTGGACCTAATGGTCAGGGGTCCATTTACCTAGTTGTGTCAAGGGCACCTAGAAAAAGATGCAACAGTGACAACTTGCTTAAAACCCTGACCACAAAATCCATCAGTTACTCTGCTCTGTGTCCAGCATTAAGTGAAAGACGTAGGGGCCCTCGAGGCAGACAGCAAAAGTTGAAATGCAGTAGCATTTGTATCGGGCTCAAACAGGAGTTGAGGGGCACATGCAACCCTCCAAGCTTCTGTATCCAGCCCTCAGAACTCTGCCCACGCAACACCCCTTAGGAGTCTGCTCCACACTCCCCTTTGGTTCTTTGCCCTGGCCAGAATATCCCTGAACCATATACAGTCGTACCTCAGAAGTCGAACAGAATCCGTTCCAGAAGTCCGTTCGACTTCCCAAACACAGCTTCTCATTGGCTGCAGGAAGTTACAGGGAACCAGGCAGAGGGCCTTCTCAGTGGTGGCACGCATCCTGTGGAACGTCCTCCCGTCAGATGTCACAGAAATAACTATCTGACTTTCAGAAGACATCTGAAGGCAGCCCTGTTTAGAGAAGTTTGTAATGTTTGATGTTTTATCGTGTTTTTAATATTCTGTTGGGAGCCGCCCAGAGTGGCTGGGGGAACCGAGCCAGATGGGCGGGGGGTATAAATTATAAAATTATTATTATTATTATTATTATTATTATTATTATTATTATTATTATTATTATTATGAAATAAAGGGGAAACTTACCGGGAACAATCTAGACTGGACAAGCCAGACAGGATTGCTTAATTTAAAGGATTCTAAGGAATCATCAACTTGCTTCCAACAATCTGCAAGGGAATGTGCTGTGCTGTACTGCTTGCTCACTAGGGTGAGTGAGGAGGGATATTAATATTTTTGCACTTGATGAATTACTGTATTTTAATATTCGGCTTACAAAAGAACGTTAAAAAACCGGAACACTCAATTCCGCGTTTAGATCGGGAGTCGGAACATTCGACTCCCAAGGCATTCAGGAACTGAGGTACGACTGTACTGAAGTGTCTTGCTTGCCTGAGCTCAGGGAGTTCTGACTCAGTTGGAACATTTTGAGCTTTTCCCTGCAAAGATTTCTTTGTACTTCTGCAAACCTTGGGTCTTCCCAGCAGCTTGCTGATCCCTCCCAGTCCCAGGTGGTGCCTTCCTGGGTTACAGAGGACTCCTATTCAGAGAACGGGTTGGCCTGCTAGGGGAATACTTAACAGTGATTTGACAATGCACACAGAAATGTTTTTCCCCCCTTTTTATTTTATTAGAAGCCTTTTTATATAAATAATTTAAAATGTACAAGTTTACACTCCCAGCAGTTGCCAGCTCTCTGTAAAAGATGCAACATCCAAAGAAGAAAGCATTACATACATTTTATCGCTGCATAGAGAAGTTGTGCTGTTCAAGCAGAATCTTGAATGATCTCCTGCAGCCTAGGGACAGAGGTGAAAGCTGTTTCCTGGTTCTGCTGGATCTCTCAGTGGCTTTTAGTACCACTAACCCTGGTATCCTCCTGGACCATCTAGAGCAGTGCATCTAGAGGAGTTGGGTTTGGGCACACTGTTATACAGTGGTTCCGCTCCTTTCTCCTGGGCCGTGTCCAGAAAGTGATGTTGGAGGGATGAGTGTTCGGATCCCTGGGCTCTCACTTGTGGGGTGCCTCGGGGCTCTGTCCCCCTTCCCATGCTTTTGAACATCTCTATGAAGCCGCTTAGAGAGATCACCAGGGAGCTGGGGCTGAGTATCCACCAATATGCAGATGATAACCAGTTCTACCTCTCTAAATCAGAACCATTGAAGGCAGTGAACACCCTGTGCAAGTGTGTCTAGAGTATGGATGACGGTCTTCAGATTGAGGTTGAATCCCAACAAAATGGAAGAACTGTTTCTGGGGGAAGGGGTGGGCAGATGTGGAGGACTCCCTGGTCCTGAATGGGGTAACTGTGTCCCTGAAGGACCAGGTGTGCAGCCTGGGGGTCATTTTGGACACTCAACTGTCCATGAAGATGGCCAGTTCCTCATCCAATGTGGCTGTCTACCAGCTCCATCTGGTATGCTGGCTGAGACCCTACCTGCCCACGCACTGTCTCACCAGAGTGGTGCATGCTCTGGTTATGTCCTGCTTGGGCTA